TTATTTTTACATGGAATTCAGAGTTCTTTTATACATTTTGTTTAATTATAAGCAATTCCATCATTGATACCCTACTTCAAAATTGGTGTCAAATAATTTTTATATATTCAAATATTGTAACACTTTTGAATATTGTAACTCTTTCAAATATATGTGTAATAATTTACGTTATAATAATAATATGTAATGATTTTTATGGAAACAAATTTATATATTTAATTACATGAAATGTTGTTACATTAATTAAAAAAATAAAGTATATATATATTAATATTATAATTACAATATTATAACATCTGAAAGTGTTAATATTAATTTGAAAGTATTCAAAGGTGTTACGATATTCTAATTCAAAAGTGTTACAATATTCAAAAGTGTTACAATATTTGAAAGTGTTACAATATTTGAAAGTGTTACAATATTTATATTCGAAAGTATTATAATAAGAATCAAAATATCATTTCAAATATTCAAATATGGATAAGGGATAACAATTCACTACTGTTGCTGTTATAATGACATTGAATTTTATTTATTTACAAAAAACAGAGATGTTAAATTCACACAATCTATGAAAGGGATTTTTGCAAAAAAAATTGTAAACCCATATTTTTGCACAATTCTAATTTCCTTATTATTTTTTTTATAATGTGTCTTTATCTCTGTATCTATCACATCACATTTTTTTATGTATAAAAATATTTTAACAGCTAAAAACAACTTTGTTTATTATGTTTAAAAATTAATTAATGTCAAAAAATGATTGTGCGCAATTAGTGATTTTGTGTAATTGTTAATTTAGTAATGATATTCAGCCCAATCAAAATTCTTTTTTACGTGATAAAATCAAAATGTGATTAACGCAAATCATTACCAAATATGCAAATGTCCGCTATGCTATTTTTCTCACCATATGCGGACGATTTCCAAATTTGGTAATAATCCTGACGTCATACAAGTATTTCCGTAACAATGGGTCGGTCATGAGTGCCATTTTCCTTCTAAATTTCTTTGTGATTCTAGCAATAGTTCAATAATTTAATAATTAGCAATTAATTAAATAAATCTAAAAATCAAGGAATTTTATTTATATCTTTTAATACTAATATCATTGGAATAGAGTCGTATACGCCTTTCAGTAAAACTTTTTTATGACAATATTTATGACTGCGCATCTTCCTTCAGCTAATAGTTTGATATTACGAAATTTATCATATGGAACCCATTTAATATTGTTCCCATCCTTTCTTCAAATTATAAAGAAAATTCTGCCGATGGTATATTTCGTTGATTTTTTCATTTTCTTCGTCATTTTCTTTAAATCCGTATTGCTTCGTTAATTGATCCAACTTTTCATTGTTGCTGTTGTCTTTGTTCACTTGACTTTTTTGATTTGTTGTACTACATTTTAAAATATAAAATTTAGTGACATTTTATAAATTTTTTTTTTTTTGTTATTTTTGTTATTGGCATTAAATTACAAGCTACGACTCGAAAACTATTCGCCAGTAAATACCCTATTCAGTTTGATCCTTCATAATCTATTTTTTTTATTGCTATCAATTAAATTCGCTCTCTCAAAAATTAATATTCATAGTAATAGAATTTTTTTTTTTTTGTGATTCTGACTATTATAAGTCCTTTGATGATAATTACACTCTAATTCCTAAAAAACCAAGAAACTGGTTTGATGACCTAGACCATCCTTTAAATATGGTATAATTTATTATTATGTAGGTTCTGCCCAATTAAAAAATCAAATAACATTATATTAATACGTCAATTTTTATTCACAAGGTTTTTCCGCCAAAGTATCATGTGTTAATAAATTTTAAAATTAACCAATTCAAGAAATTCCACTAACATTTTTTTAGTTATATAAAGTTTATTTTTGCAGATCTTAACCAATAGACCATAGAATAATTTATACCTGTTTTTTAAAAAAACTATAGACGCGGTTTTTTTTGTTTACTATCCGTTCAAAAATAAAAATAAAAATGCGAGCACAATTCTTATAACAATGATAGAACAACAATATGGTTTTTAACAGTTAGTCATGCGTTCTTAAATCTTCCCAGCAAATAAATATATTTAGTTTTTCTAAAACAATCAATTGAATGATATCAAGATAAATACAAGTTTCATTCTTATCTTGGGTTATTGAACGGGAGAGAGTTTGGTTTAATAAAGTCTATTTTTCGCCGATGATCTTCTCTTTATTTGGAAAGAATGGGACGTTCCAGAAGTATTTAAAGGATCAATTAATTCTTTATTACCTTTTAACCAGATAGAATTGGTTTAAAAATGCAAATTCGTCCCGAAATACCATAAAATAGTAGTAAGTAAAAATCCTTTTGAAAATAATTGCCTGCATTAATATAAATTAGCGTGTTTAAAACGGGGATTTTACAAAAATAGGTAACTCGATCAATTCTCCAGTTTCGCCTGGACCAACTGTTGCTTCGAATGTGTCCAATGATGGTTACTCAATAGCAACCAGTTCTTCGTCTTCGTCTAATCAATATAATGACTCGTCTACTCCTTCCCAAACAACATATGATCATAATGTTGATAGTACTACTAATGAGGATTTGATTGATTTTGACGCATTTGATTACTCCGTTGAAACAAATAATCAACCGACATCCTCTGCCGAAGAAAATACCGTTTCAGGAAACCCTAACAACGATATGGATACAAGCTTCTTCGATAATAGCAAGACAACATTTGGCAATTCGAAATCTGAAGGTTCGGATGAATTGTCTGATCCCCTTATCAAAAAAAAGTGCTGCTTCTAAAAACCTTAGTTTTGAGAAAAATGAAACAAATTTTCATGAAAACAATACAAATTCGTCCACATCAAGAATTCCTGATACAGAAAGTTTGGTACTCGTGACCAAGCCCATTAAATCATCCACCAATAATAAGTCTAAAACTAGAACATCAGATGATGTGGTATCAGATAATCATAAAAAAATCAGCGAAAAAATTTTAGAAATATTTTCAAAGCGTAAAGATTTATATACTATATAGTTCGAATAAGGATATTAAAGAGGGACAAGATCTTTTAGATTATATTCCGGGTTTGTATCTATTGTTAGATCTAAAAAAAGACGAAGGATCAAATGGTCTTGGTATGTATTTTGGTTATTCGTAGGAATTAATTAATAATGTGACTTGTGATATTTATTGATATAATTTTTTTTTTTTTTAGTTAACAAAATAATCATATCAAAGGAATCATTAGAAAAGCTTTGTAATGAATTGGTTCCCAAAATTTTTAAGTCTGTTTCAAACATTAATTATAAAAAACTGAATAAAGTCTCATTCAATCTTGTTGGCTGCTATGGGAACTCTGAATTGATTGCAAAGCTACTATTAATTAAAAAAATTATTAACCAAAAAGTGTAAGTTGAAATTAATTCTTCTTTCATCTATAATTTTTTATTATTCGTGATTAATAAATATATTTATATATTTTAGGTGTGATTTGCTTGTATCTTCGAATAAAACTGGGAGTCCTTCTCTTCGTTCAGGAATCTACTTGTTGATTGTGAATGTTAATCTTGGTTTAGTAATTCATTGGCCTGAGTCTGGTTGTTATGAATAGAATGCATCTGATCAATTTAAAAAAAATATGGTTAATTTCCACAGGTAATAAAAAATTTTTATGTCTATTTATTTATATTCTATAATTAATTTCTTAAAAAATTTAAAATTACATTTATTATAGGTATCTCACAAAGCTGACTGATCATCAGATATGTTTAATGAGAGCAGTGATTTAAAATGTTTTGAATGGGAATTAAGAAATGATGGAGATGATGATGGCAATTATAGTGACAAAAATGAGGATGATGATGATGATGATGATGATGATGATGATGATTATGATGATGATTATGATGATGCACTTTTTGAATTTGAAGTCAAAGAAAGTCAAGAAGAAAAAGAGAACTTCCAGTTACGTGAAGGCTTTAAGGTTAGAAGGTTTTCTTTGTATTTATGAATTTATTTATTACATTAACTTATCATGTAATAAACATGTTAGGTCCAACTACCGAATTACATCCAACCAGACCTTAAGACCATTCATTATAATGAAATTTCTATGAAACCTACTGGTATTATCACTATACTGTTTCAAATCTTTAAAATATCTCAATTCCATTCATTAGCTTACCTTTTTTATTTAAATAGTTGTTGAATCTGTGTCGCATCAAGCTTTCATCACTCAAAATATTATCAAATCATCCCCAATAATGAGAAGATGTTCAGCAAATTATTCAAATCTTATAATAAAACTCCATTCAAAGAGCTCATTAAAGGATATTCCCTCAAGATTGAAAAAAACTCCATGGACATGACATTATTAAAAAAGTTTATTGAATTTTGCCTAGATGATGAGAAGGAGCTATTATCATCTTATGAAGAATCCATATAAAAGCTGAAAAAGAAACAACTAGTAAGAAAAAAGAAAATATAAAAGATGAAATTAAAAGAGATGCAGAAATTATCACAAACATGGCATGGATGAAATTAAAAGAAACTTACAGGTATGAATCTTGCTTTAAAAAATTTTTTTTGTATAACTATTAATCAGCTTTAACTTTTGATTTTATATTATATATAGCAAATTTGAAAAAACTATTAAAGATGATAATACAATACCCAAATTTGAATATTCAAGTAAGTTATAACGTTTGAATTATTATTTATCATTTAAACATTGATATATTTTTTGATATTTATTAATTCTAAATAGAAATCAAAGAAATCCATGAGAAATATTCTGATATAAATAAAAAAATAGAGGAATCTATTGTAATAAAATCAAAACCCTGGAAATCTTTGAAAAAGAAACTTCAATTTTGTTCACTTATAACCATGGTAATGTTTATTAAGCAGCAAAACAATAACTCTGATAATACTAATTCAAAAGACAGCACTGATTCAAAAGAAAATCCTGATTCAAAAATGGAAAGTTATGCTTCTGAATTTTTTTACAATATGTTTATTGATAGAGAAACAGATTTCACTAAATTAGCAAAGAAACATGTAGAAAAATCTGAAGGAATTTTTGCATCTATTTATTCATTCTTTACTGCTGGACCAAAACCTGAACCTCGTGTTATTGAAGAGAATATTCGAAAAGTGGAGCAAATGGTAAATCAAGTATCTGACTCTGAATTTGTCAATGAACTTTATAATTCTGAATTATTTAATATTTCACAAAAAATGAGGAATACAATCATTGGTTCTTTTCTTAATGCATTTAAAAAATGGAGGGAAACCTTTTCTGAGAATATCAAAAATATAGTACCAAAATATACAAATATTAGAACACATTATGAAGAAAAATTAAACAAGGAATTATCACAAAGAATTAAAGTAATAGAAAAACATGAATTCACAAGAATTTGCCTACTACTTGAAGAAAAATTTTCAGATGGGTAATTACATCACTTTCAAAATGACTTTTTATGCTATGAAAGTTTTTAATATCTTTATTTTTAAATTACAGATCAATTTTTAAAATTATAGAAGCTAAAGGTAATTCTAATTAAGCTATTAATCTTTTGTTGTTAATTGAAACTCATTAACAAAAATTTACCTTTAATTAGAAACAACATATTATAGGGATTTAAAACTTACTTATGAAATTGAATCATTAAAACCTGATCAACTAAAGATTACATTATATGAAACAGGCCTAGATGGATCTGAAAAATTAAATCTTCAAGGAAATGAGTTATATGTTCCAAAACCTCATCTTGACAGCAATAAGAATTCACATGCTTCCTTCAAAATAGATCCAGAAATATATGAACTCAGGTAATCAATTATCCAAAAATTTTGATAAAAATTACAGAATTAAACTAATAAAGCAATTTTTTTAGAAAAATATCCCAGTTTGAAAATGGAAAGCTCCTAATAATACTTCGGAATAAAAAATCAAATCAAATAGAAATTTTTTTCGAAAATTCTAATCATTTAAAATCAACTTTTCAATTATCAAATTTAAAACCATTAAAAACTTTAAATCCTGATGGTGATTGTCTTTTTGCTATAAATGAGCCCAAAGGCTTAATTGGGATTTATGTTGCTGAAAGAGGAGTGGTAAATTGATTTTTTTTGTATTTATCCATTATAATGATTAAATTGTAAGTAATATATATAACTTGTTATTATTTATTACAAAATTTAGCTAAATGTTTATGCATTTGATGAAAATCAAGCCAGTCTTTATAGTCGCAACCCCAATATTCAAATTCTACAATATTATAATAATTCAGCACCAGATATTAAATATTTTTTCTTCATAAAAAACACTGAAGAATTATGTTTTGTGGAAACAAATGGTAGAGCAAAAATTTATAATCTTATAACTGGTCAATTTCGTCCTGCAACATTACCAGATTCTACAAATATTTCAAGCACACCTGATGGTTCTTGTATTGTAGTATTTGTGAAAGAAAAATCAACAACATCATCTAGTAATGACGAAAATGGCACAGGTGAAAAAAATGAAGAAGATGATGAAGACTCTCTCTCTCTCTCTGATGAAGATGAAGATGAAGAAGATGATAATTCCCAAAAAGATGTTGACAGTGATAATGAATGCCCAGAAGAGCAAAAACATTCAAAGAATAAAGATTTAACTCCAAATGATGTATTTAAAGCCTATGTTTATTTTTGTTCAAATATGGGAAACACTGCTAATAAGGGTAAATTGAGCTGATTTATTTTTAAATGGATTTTTTTTTTATTAATTATTTGCATTTAATTTTTTTAATTTTTTTTCAATTCAAATAAAAGTTGTTGAACTACCTTCAAATATGGATTCATTAGAATTCTTTCAATTTTCAACTATAAATGATCGTCAAATGCACCTTACAACAATTGATGTAGAAAATAATTTATTTCATTCATTAATTACAAAAATTACCCTTCAAAAAACCCAGTACCAATTTCAACAACGTAATCAAAAAAAACCAATTGGTCAAATTAGATTGCTAAAAATTACCTCTGATAATGATAAAAATAAATTTTCAATCTTAAAAACCAATTTTAATCATAACATAAAGGAGGGAGAGTACATTGTCATTAAAGGACAAAAATTAAGTGTTGTTGATGTAATTTCAGATACCAAATTGAAAGTTGCAGGTGTATATCATACCTTATCACTTGACAATGATGATGCATGGGTGGACTTTCAAACTGTGCCAAAGACAAAACTTAATGGTTTTATTGATGCATATAAATTAATGTTTGAAAAGTATCCAATTGAAAGTTGCATAGATTCTGAGCAAAACAGGCCACTTAATTTGAAAATAGTTCTTGATATAAATGATGATGATGAATATGAAAATTATGATAGAAAGTTTGAAAAATATGTTATTAGTATGTTCAATGAGTTAAAGAAGAAAACAAAAAAACCTGCATCTATTTTAAAGCATTTTAAAACCACCATTACAACATTTTCAGATCTAGACATTGAAGAAAATAATTTTATATCAAAACATTCAATTAAATATCAACTAGGAGAATGGATAATTCAACTTTCATGTTTAATACCCATCCAGATTGCAGTTGCTAAAAATAATCAATTTCAACCACTTTGAGATGGTTTAGCATCAAATGATTATGAGGTAGATTTTGATGTTGAACATGGGCATCGTTTTGGTGGCATTGCAGAAAATATTTCACTTGGATGGTATGAAGGTATATTTAAACATTTTGGTGATCGTCAAGTCAAAGTTGTTTCAAGTATGGGTGAACAATCATGTGGGAAATCATATATGTTGAACCACCTTGTTGGAACAACATTTGATGGTTCTGCAATGAGATGCACTGAAGGAGTGTGGATGTCATTATTTATAACAAAAAAATATATTTATGTTGCACTTGATTTTGAAGGATTAAAGTCTTTGGAAAGAACACCACAAGAAGATTTATTTTTAACTTTGTTTAACACTATGGTTTCTAACATGATACTTTTTAAAAATCAATTTGCTGTTAGTAGAGACATGTCAGGAATGTTTCAAAGATTTCAAGATGGTGCAGCTTTTTTTTAAATCTGACTCAAATGTTTTTCAAGCAAAACTTTGCATCATAATTAAAGATGTTCATGAAAATGATCGAAAAGGAATTGTTGATGAGTTTCATCTCAAGTTTGAAGATTTGGTTAAAAAACAAGGAGAAGATAATTTTATTACTAGAATGTATAAAAGTGGATTAACTATTTTTCCATGGCCATTATTTAATGATCCTGCTTGGTTCAAAACTTTGAAAACTGTTAAAAAAAAATTAGATAAACAGAAAGCAAAATATGAAAATGCACGAACTTTTTTACAAAACACTAAAGTCATTATGGCTAAATTAAAGATTTGTGATTGGGGATCTTTGGATGAAAACCTTGTTCAAATGCGTTTATCAATTTTAAAAAGAATACTTCCAATAGCTATATCTTATGGCTTAGAGCAAAAGGAGCAAGAAATTAAGCCCTTAATAAATCACAATACAGGAGAGAAAATAGATGATCAACCTCAATTAAATCATGACACTGGGGAGAAAACAGATGGCCAAACTCATTTATCTAAATTTGCAGAAACCTTCAATACACAAAATGAACTATTTCCAGATTCAGATGTTTTACTCTTTGAAGAAAATGCTGATTTTGTTGATTTTTCATATGATCTAAGAAATCAATTTGAAGATAAAATTCAAGAAAGGAAAAAGTCTGAAAAAGATTCAGAATGGTTTAGTAAATTAGAAATGTTTTTCAATTTTATTATTGAACGAAGAGTATATCGTGTTGAGCAATGGTTTTTACAAAATATTAACAAATTTCCACAAGACAATAGTGAAGTTGTTATTGGAAAATATGCTCTTGAAAAAGAAATCAACAATCTTAGGCTTTTTTGGACATTATGTGGGCTTTCTTGTCAGGATTGTGGATTACGCTGCCTTAAAAATCATGGTCATACTGACAATCATGACTGCAAGACTAATCATGAATGCCATTTCTCATGTCAATTTGTAGAGGCACATAGTTCTTTTATTCCAACTTGTAGTTATAAAGCAGGACATGATGGGAAACATGCATGTAATAAAACCAGTCATTTATGTGGAAAACCTTGTAAACTTAGTGATAAACGTAATTGTCAAAAAGTATGTTCAAAAGATATTGGACATGAAGATGATGAACACATGTGTCAGTCAGATCGTCATTATTGTGGAGAGTCATGCTCACTCTTTACATCAATCAATAAAGGTGATAAAGGTGATTATGAATGTCCAAACAAATGCATTATGCCATGTGAGCTTGAGCATGATCAACATCGTTGTGAAAATGAGACATGTCCAATTGAATGCCCAATTTCAGATTGTCGGAATAGATGCCAGAGTAATAATCATTTTCATGCTTACAGTGAATTTACAGTTAATCATTTTTGTGGTAATGATCATCAATGTCTTGAGGAATGTGAAGAGCCAGGTATTTGTAAAATTTCAACTGAACCCAAAAAAGAAGAAGCAACTTATAAAGGGTTGATCAAAGAAACTTCAATTAGCTTTTTTAAATATATTCAACAAAGTGAAAGGATGAGATGTAATAAAAGAATACCACCAAACTCCTTCAAGCATGAAGGAACACATTCACATGATGAAAATGGAGTTCATTTTTGTGATAAAAAATGTCAATTTTGTGAATATTATTGCAACTTACCTCATGGACATATACAAACTTTACATGATACTCGCCATGGAAATATGGTACAGACTGAATTTACTGCAGAAAATGATGAATTTGAGTATAAGGGACATAAATTACAAATTGGAGATCAAGGTTCTTTTGTTCTTTGTAATTTTTATTGTAAAGAATTAGGTCGCCATAGACATATTGATTATTGTCAAAATGTGGAGGCATGTAAAAATGGACAACAAGGGCATGAAGTAATACATTTAGATGGTATTTATTCTTTCCATTTTGTTTAATGAGAATTCTTATAAAAAAATTTTTAAAAATATATATTAATTATTAAAATGATCAGCACCCATCAAGCCCAATCCTGATGATAAAAAAGATTTTGTAACTCATAAATTATTTTGGGGAAGAACTGGCTTTAAAGATCCATATTCAACACAAGAACAAGTAGAATTTGCAAAATGTGATCATGAATGTCCAGATGAAGCTCACAATAAGCAACAAAGTTCTAATAGTGCAACTCCCACAAAATCTTATTGTGAATTGGAAATTTTCCATAAACCTTTAAATCCATCATCTAGTACATCAACTGGTATTGGTTACATTTCACTGGATGGTCATCAGTTCAGCTGTGATAATCCAAATAAAAGAGAAGCAGCATTTCATATTATATTTGCACTTGATCGATCAGGTTCAATGGGATTTAATGATAGAAAACCTTTAGAAAACATTCGTTCAAACATCCGTCAAAAAATTGCACAAAAACACAATAATAGGCTAGGCGCAGTATACTCAGCAGTAATTATTTAATTTTGTGTTATTGTTTTAACAAATTTAACTTTTTTCTAACTAATTATCAATTAAGGTTTATTCATTTATGGAAACACGCCTTACATCTCAAAGGAATCTAACTCAGGGTGCCATTAATAAAGACACTATTTCTTTAATCTTGTTCAACAGTAGTACTATTGTACCAATTGAAAATCAACCATTAAGTGATGCAGACAAATTTTTAGGTACTATGGTTCAGCATAATGCAAGTGGTGGAACTAACTTTGACTTGGCGATACAGAAAGCAGGGTTCCTAGTTGATAAATATTATGATCCAACAAAGTAATTTAATTTCATATCCATTGATTGATTTAAAATTGGTTTTAATATATATAATATAACTAACTTGTATTTTAAATATTTCAAGGACAAATATTATTATTTTTTTGTCAGATGGTAAATGTGGATCACCAGATGCTCGATTAGAAAATATTTGTAGAGTCAATCAACAAAGAGGGTGTGTAATTTTATTTATATTGTTTATGTATAAATAATAAATAAAATAATTATAATAATTTTAAAAATTTTTTTCACTAATTTAATAGGTCACCGTTATATCTTTATACAGTTTTATTTAGCAGTGATTCTTCTAGCCCATCATTAGTAAAGATGGCTGATATCGCACAAAGTCATCTTCCAACTAATTCTTCATCCCAATCTTTAAAATGTCAATTCACTCGAGCTATTGATGAAATAGCTTTGGCTAATTATTTTACTGTTGTTGCAGAAAGTTTAAGAGCACATAAACCTTCTTTAATGAAAAAGTTGTAAAGTAGAAAACAATATATATGTGATAAGGATTAATATAGCAACTTCGTTTTTTTTTGATCTTTTAAAAACACAAATTGATTAATAAAAAATAAATTTATCCTGAAAGGATTAGTTCTAAAATGACGTAGCTTTATTCACCTAAAGCAGGCGTAAGGTTGTAAATATACATTAATTTACCACCTGACTGGTAATAAAAGCTGCCTTCAACGATTTAAATAAAAATTCTTTGTAGAGTGAGCATGCCAATTTTTATGGGACTATGGACATTGGTAACAGGTCATAATCTCAGTGATATGAAGTGTTAAACAACGCCATCACCGCCATCATTATTGTGTGATTGTAATGAATTTCTCTCATTCTCTCGCTTGTTTTATTTGGTTTTATTCATTCACATATGATAATTGATCATATAATCTTTATATTTTTTTTCTTGGTAGTTCATTGATGTCCTTGACTTATTATCCTCTTTGCAATATTCGTTATACTTGTAATTATAATTAGTGATGTGAGCCGGTTAAGATTATAAAAGAATTTCTTAACATTTATTTTTATATCTGGGATTTTAGTGCAGAATAAAACATTTAGTTGATATGCGTTCCCATTATTTAGAATGATAAAAGAAAAAAACACACATTTGCTCAAAAAAAAAAAAAATTTATACAATAATAAAAGATAGTAATAAAGAATGCAATATTCGAATTATTCGTAATACTAATACTAATACTAATATTAATATTAATATTAATTCGAATTCGAATTCGAATTATTCGAATTATTATTCGCATTATTCGTTTTATTTGTTTTATAAACTTTCAATGTAATTCGAATACATAATTCATAATTAACCATTAAAGGCGGCGATTTAGGATGTAAACTCGATAAGTCGGCCAAAATTTTCACCCCATTTTCTTAATATTTAAGTAATTTAATTCGATAAGTTGGTTCACTCGACAAGCCGGTCATATGAACTCACCCCCACATGACCGACTTATCGAGTTTACATATGTATCTATTATTTGGTTGCGATTATACTTATATCTAACACCCCCAATTAGTAAAGAATTTAAAGCATCTTTATCTGATATCATATTGTTAATCATTGCTGAAATCATGATTCATTTTTAATTTTTTTCATTCTTTCCACATTCAATAATGATTTGTCAATGATTGTTGAAATGTATGACGGATTCAAACGCACACAAAAAAAAAAATCATTGGCAAATAATTTAATATATATAAAGGCTCTCAGAGATTTTATACAATATTATGATGATGTTATCACAAGTGATGTTTTTTTATTTTCCTTATCATCATCATTAACAAGTTTGTATTCTTGATAAGGTAATGGCGATGATGTTAATGATGGTGGTGTATGGTGTGTATATAATGACGTCTCATCATTTATTCTAAAAAATATATTTTAGAGAACAATTAATATAAAAAATTCAATCGATTATTTTAAACGATCTTTATATAGGTTTTGTAGATTTTAGCAGATTATGAAAGGGCAAGTTCAATACTTTTTATTTCGATTATTATTTAAAAAAAATATATATTTTCAAAAAGCAGCAAAGTATCACGTTAACTTGTTCGCCACACATATTATATACAGTGCAGGACACCTAATCCCGCAACTTACTGCGCCACGACGACGAATTTTGGGAAAAAATTTCCAATCAAA